AGGTCAAGGTGCGCAGCGATGGAACCCGCTATGTGGCCAAGCGGCCTGTGCGTGATCGCCTCCTAAAAGCCCGGGCCCTGAAGATCCGTGAGGAGCGCAGTGGCATGACCACGGACGACGACGCGGTCAGCGAGATGAAGATGGGCCGCTACTGGAGCAAGGAGGAGCGGAAGCAGCACCTGATCCGGGCCCGGGAGCAGCGCAAGCGGCGTGAGTTCATGATGCAGAGCCGGTTGGAGTGCCTGAGGGAACAGCAGAACGGCGACAGCAAGGCTGAGCTCAACATCATCGCCTTGAGCCACCGCAAGACCATGAAGAAGCGGAATAAGAAGATTCTAGACAACTGGATCACCATCCAGGAGATGCTGGCCCATGGCACTCGCTCAGCTGACGGCAAGCGAGTCTATAACCCTCTGCTCTCCGTCACCACCGTCTGAGCCGCCCAGATGGGAGCCAGCTGCACTATAGGGCGGGCCCTCCGCCCCTGCCCAGGTCCAGTGAGCCTCCAGGAATCCTACCCCCTCCTCTCCCTTAGAATCTAGTGTGTGTCTTTGTGCACAGGTGTGCACACACCTGTCTTTGTATTTGTGCACAGGACTTTGTTACCAGAAAGAAGCCCCCAAGGAGAATGGGCACCCCTTCCATTGTGTGTGTGTGTGTGCGCCTGTGTGTGCGCGTGTGCAACACTAGCCCAGGCACATGCACGTGCACACACTCACCCCCACCCCCCAGCTCTCTCAGTGTGTTGAGCTGAAAAGGAGAGGTAAAGAGGATTGTCCTAAGCACAAGAGAATGTCCAGCTCCCGAGCTGAGCCGACTCTCCCCCCTGCTGGGAGCCTCCACTATTTGTAGACAAAGGCGACCCTGTTTTTGTGGTTTTTCTCCCTTTCTGTGCTTGCCAATTGTTTTTCTGTTTTGTGCACCTGCCCTGGGGGCTAGCAGCTCCTTCAGGCAGCCTGACAAAGGTGGAACCCCCCCTAGTGAGGGCTGGGAAGGAGGGGGGTGGGAGGGGGAGTAAGAGAAGGGAGGGTAGGGGTGGGAGGGAAGGGATGGGAAGGAAGGGAAGAATGGGAAGCAGCTTTCCTGCTGGCCTCCGTCTGAGGTGTGGGGACAAGGGCTTTCAAGGATCACCCTGGAGGTTACCTCCTCTGTGACCAAGGTAGAGCCGAGACTGGGGCCTGAGGGGGCAGTATCCATCCAAGAAGAAATACCTGAGCCCAGGGCTGTGCTTGACTCCATGTGGAGTGTGGCTTCTCTTCTGAGGGTCGTGAAGGGGTCCAGAAGCCAAGGCCCATGTGTAATAGCAAAAGAGCTTTGTGACAAGACCCACATGGAGTTGAGGGAGCTGCCTGAACCCCAGCGAGAGCCATGCCAGGCCAGCTGGGCTGACTAGGGAGATGTCCTGCACCCCCACTTTGCAGGTGTGGACTGGGCAGTTCTCCAGGGCCCCTCAGCCTCAGAGAGCCTCAGATTGGAGGCAGATTGCCCATCCCTGCCCCCTACCGGCATCACAATAAAGCAAGCTGCCTTTTTATGGTGATTCCTGGCCTCCCTGTGTTTATTCTCATCGATCGAGCTGGGAGAAGAGCTGTCAGTTTGGGGTGGGAGAGGGGTGTGTGTGTGTGTGTGTGTGTGTGTGTGTGTGTGTGTGTGTGTGTTGCGGGGGGGGGGGCGTGAAGGGCAGGGCAGGTGAGGACTGGTGCCAATTGAAAGCTGTCTCTCAGCTTTCTTGGCATGTCACTGAGGAACAGCAAGGTTTTGTTATTTTTTATTGTTGATAGTATTACAGATATCTCCCATTTCCCTCCCTTTACCCCCCTCTTCCCAGCCTACCCACCCCCCCTCCAAGTTTTTTCTTTTTATTTCAGAGGAAGGGAGAGGGAGGGAGAGAGAGAGAGAGAGACAGAGAGAGAGACAGAGACAGACATCAATGATGAGATGCCTCCTGCACACACCCCACCTGGATCAAGCCCACAACCCAGGCATGTGCCCTGACTGGGAATAGAACTGACCTCCTGGTTCATAGGTCATCGCTCAACCACTGAGCCACTCTGGCTGGGCAACAGCAAGATCTTTTGATGTCAGTGTCCTGTACCTGACAGGAGCTGTGACAGGGTCACTTGAATCATTTCAAGGGTGTGACATGGCCTCAGGGGTGCTGCACAGATGCAGGATGACAGAGGCTTGGCTCAGGAGTGGCCACGGGGCCTGCCACTGAATGAGGCCAACACTCCTTCACCGCAGGAGCCTGAGAGAAGTGGATCCCACCCCCTCCCCCTGCTCCAGAAAAACCAGAGCAGGGGCAAGGAGCTGGGAGTTTCTCAAAGGCACAAGCTACCTTCCCGATTTGGGGCCCCCAGTGCCTAGCACGTAGATGATGCTGAGTAAAAGTCTAGGCCAGTGGTCGGCAAACTGCGGCTCGCGAGCCACATGCGGCTCTTTGGCCCCTTGAGTGTGGCTCTTCCTAAGCCTATGAGTACCCTAATTAAGTTAATAACAATGTACCTACCTGTATAGTTTAAGTTGAAGAAATTTGGCTCTCAAAAGAAATTTTAATCGTTTTACTGTTGATATTTGGCTCTGTTGACTAATGAGTTTGCCGACCACTGGTCTAGGCCATGAGGTGGATGAATACTTGGGTGGCCACAGGGCCCTTTTGGCTCATGGACTTGCAGGGATGCAGCCAGATGCGGTTCTATTCAGTGCAGCAAACCACTAGTATCGGCTAAGTGCCAGGACCCATGCTACGTGCTGGGTGAGAGCCAGGGCCCTGAAGGCCATCTCCAGGTGTGGCCTGCTCTGTGCGTGACGCTCCCTGGAGTGGGCAATGTGGCCATGAAGGGAGCTTCTGAACAGACTGGATGCTGCCAGCAGCTGAAGTGGGCAAGCACACACTTAAATTCTCTTAAAAAATGATGTAGACCTCTCATTAACTCTGCCAGTTGGCTGAGATGGGCATGAGTGAGGAATCTGAGTCCACGTTCCCAGAAGCCCAGTGCCCTGCTGGGAAGGCAGGTTCCCAAGCAGGCTACATCTGTCCAGCTACTGTGTTGAGCAGCTGGGAGGGAAGGCTCAACATCACACTGCAGACTGGAAGGAGTACAGGGCTTGTTGGTGAAAAGGGGTGAAGATAGCAGAGGTGTAGGGGCATGCGATGTCCCCTTCACAGCTCAGCCCTTCAAGACCTATTGCTGAAGACTAGGTACGTAGACTCTGGTGACCCCCCTGTTCCTCTGGAGGGAACATGACCCCATAGAGGAGGATGGGGCTCTCCTGCCACAGAAAATGGGGGTGGAGGGAGTGGGAGACAGAAGCCAACCATTCCCTGGGCACAGCTCTCCAGCTGTTGGGAGGCAACTTTAATGGCTCCAGAGGTTCCCCATTCTTGTTCCAGCCAGGATTTGCGTGGAGGCCTAGTGCTCAGGGGAAGTGGGCCAAGACGCCTGGGACCTGGAGTCCCTGAAAGCCAGCGCCGTGGCTCAGCTCTGATTCTTGGAGGTGGTGCCAGGAGGGTTGGCAGCCCTTGGCTTCTGATACCCTGGAACAGTGACTTCACATCTGGGTCCTATTGCCATCAGGCAGGGTAGTGGAGCCAGGATCAAAAAGTGCCCCTGGGTGGCACACAGCTGCCACTGTCTACCTTGCCTGCCTCGCCAGCACCCACCACCTACAGCAGGTGCCCTTTAAGCTCCCTCTGCTGGTCTTTCTATGGAATCCAGAAACCCTAGCAGCCAGCAAGCCTAGCCTGGCTTGGCCCTGAAGGGACTCAGCTGTACTGCTTTTGGGAGGACCCAGCTCTTCTTGAGAGCCTCCCCATTTGTCGTAGTCTGGAGGAGGTCCCCAGGCAGTTCCAGGTCACAAGTCACTTGCCCTCCATGCCCCCAGCCCTTCCTACTGCTATGAAGGACAGAGCCGAGGCACTGAGCCCTGCCCCCTCGGAGGTTTGGGGCCTACCTTCCTTGCACTGTTGCCCTGTTCCTTTCCTGGAACAGGCAATGGTGATCAAGCACCAGGGTGCCAAGGGTTTGCCATATGGGCTCAATGACCCCTCACCAAGACCCCCTAGGAGGCAGTCACATCAGAGCTGAGCAAACTGCCTTGGAACATGTATGTGGGAAGGACTCCCCTAGGACTTGCCATCTAGCCCCTTTGGACCCCAGGGCTCTGGGCACTTCTGCAGCCATGGATGGCACCAGTGAAACTCCCTGGCTGGGCAGGAGGGCTGAAGGTTGACCTGGAGCATGATGCAGGCACAGGCACCTGAGTCTGGTGTCCGATGGCACTGGGTGTTCAGGGGAGCGGTAAGTGAAAGGCCAAACTGGGAGAGCTGGCAATGGCTCCTCAGAGGTAGGGGTTCAGGCCGTTGCTTCTTTCTGCCCCTTCTATGTGTCCCACCTGACACCAGGAAGTGGGAGCACATTGAGAGGCAACGTGGAGGGGGTGGGGTGTAGTGCTTAGAATGACTACACCCCAGACAGCTGCCAGGTTGATTGGCTTCAACTGTATTAGTGAAATGGCCACTCACGATGTAAGCATCAGAGTACTTCAGTATGTGGCTCATGCCCAGGGCTGCACACACAGGAACCACTGCAGGATGTATAGGGCTGTCTACATGTGTTGCTGACTGCTGGGTTTGGGGGAAGCCAGGCAGTTGCCGCCCCAATGGTAGGCGGTCAGAGGCCCTACCCTGGGCAAGCCGGAGGGACTGAGGGGCAGGAGAGAACAAGGCAGTCCTCTGCCAGACCACATGTGCTGGGAGGAGGGGCAAACCCATGTAGGCAACCAGGAGACAGCAGGTAGATGCTGGTCACCGGGGCCCGAGGCAGGGAAGGCTTAGCTGGGGGCTGGGGTAGGCAAGCCTGCAACACCAAAGAGCAAAGCAAACCCATGAGACGGGAGATTCAGCCCAGTCCCCGCTCAGCGTTGCATTATCATGTGGACCAGGGGATGCTGGCTGCCCAGCCCTGACCTGTGTGGAAGGCAAGGTGCAGTGACGCAAATGAGGGGCCTCTAACTGTTTTATTGAAAGAAGCACGGGGGGCTGGGGGCACTGCCCTCAGGCCTGGATGTGGCTCTTGGCGTTGAAGGCCAGGTAGTAGATCACTATTCCGATGACTGCGGCTAATACCTCGGTGGAAACCCAGGGCCCGTTCCAGGTGCCCTGCAAGAAAGGAGAGCAAAGCAAGCTCAGGGGAGGGATGGGTGAGCGGCCTAGCCCCTGCCCCCCCAAAAGTATGAAGCTTGCTGAGTGCTTGCTGTTTCCCAAGCCCAGGCCAGCCTCTTCAGCCCACTCACCCGATGGTCTACGCTGACTGTGAACAGGGGTGCGATGATAGAAATGTCTTCGTTGTTTCTCTGAGCCTGCAAGGGAGGTGCTGGGGTTAGGGGTGCTGCAGGGTGGGGTGGGGTAGGAGAGACAAGAGCACTGGCTTGAGTCAGGGAAGAGGGGAGGAGAGAGATGGGTAAGGGAAAAACATAAGGTCCAAGCACAGGCGGGGCAGGTGTATAGGAAGGCACCCACCCAGCCACCCTGGTCCCTGTAAGCAAGGCCCCTAGTGGCCCAGAGCTCCAGGAAGAGGGGTTGGAGGGTGGAGGGCTGTGGAGGCAGGGTGTGCCCTCCCTCCTGCAGGCTGGGGAGGAGCTGCAGGTGGCACTCACCTTCCTCAGGAGGCTGTAGGACTCCTCATCGAAGAATCTGACCTCATAGGTACCTGCGTGGGCATTTTTGTGATCTAGGCTCCAGGACACCTGGGTTGGGTATTTGGCACGGGGTAGGCACAATGAACACATCAGGGTCCCGCTGCCAGTGCTAACACAGCACCACTGCCAGTGGCCCAAGACAAAAGAACCCTGACCCTGCTTGACCAGGCCACCTCTAGGGCTTCCAGTCACACCCAAGAGCAGGTGGCCTTCCCCCAAAATGACAACCATAGTATCCCTTACCTGATAACGTCCCACGTCCTGACCCCGGGTGACAGGAAATTGTTTTCCACTGACGTCAGCATAAAGAGCCATGTTCTGGGGAGAAGACAAGGGGCGAGTCATTTTCTCCCCTATATGGCTGTTGGCAGAGGCCCCACTGTGCTGCTCCCAGCGGCACCTGTGGCCTGTGGGCAGGGGACACCATGCGAGAATCATGGAGGTAGGCCTGGCACAACCCAGAGCCTTGCCAGGAAGCCAACACCCACAGATACTGTCACTATTTCTCTGGCTCAACTCTGGGGGGAGGGTACATTCCTTTTTTGGCCTGGCCCCCCTAACCCACAGCAAGCCTGTTAACTGTGAACAGCATGGGATGATTGACATGTCCTTATTATTTCTGAGCCTGTAAGGGGGTGCTGGGGCCAAGGGGAACCCAATGAGCTGTCCAAGAAATGTTGTATCCAAAAAGGCCCAACTTCCTTCTTTGGGCCTTTGGAAGGCTGGTTAAGGTCAGGTCTGTTCAGTCTTAAAATTATGAAATACCCACATGGACATACACCTTGGCAAAGAGCAACCAGAAAAGGGATGGAGAAAACTGGGGACTGACCCCTGGCTGTTTCTCACTTCCACGTACATTCTTTTATCAACGATGAGAATCATTGATCAGCTGCCTCCTGCACACCCCACACTGGGGATTGAGCCCGAAAATCGGGCATGTGTCCTGACCATGATCTTCTGGTTCATGGGCTGATGCTCAACCACTGAGGCACACTGGCCGGGCCACATACATTCTCTTTAAGACACAGCAAAGTGTCTACCTACATTACTGCACCTAGGCAAAAAAACCCAGGAAGCTTAGGAGAATGTTCTTTGAACAACTGCTAGAATTTGATCTTAGTGCATCGAAATCCACATGGGTCCCTGGGTCTGCAAGTTGAGTAGCTAATGCCCAAGGTCCCAGGCTCACTACCCGCTTCTCACCCCAGTACCCTCCTGGCTGAACCCCCCTCCCTTACCTGGACCCTGTTCTTGCATGTCAAGGAAATCTCCACAATGAAGACAGTCTCAGTGGAAATGACGGCATCAGAGGTTGTGTAGTAGGAAGGGGTGATTTGGGGCTCCATGCAGGCCTCTGCTGTGGGGAGAAGGCAGAGAATGCCTGGGTAAGGCCTAGCTTGTGCATGCTGGGCTAGAGGACAGAGGGACCAACCTGATCCCAATTCCCACACCTCATCAGCTAAGGACACATGGAATCCTTTGGACCCTGCAAGGTAGGATATGGGAAACAGATCTAAATAAGTCAGAAGTGCAATGGCAAAGGGGGTGGGGAATGGGAAGGCTTTGTACAGGTGGGACCTCAATGTAAGGGCAAAAGAGCAGGTGAGTGGGGGGAGGGGGCTGGGTGGATTCACTGCACAACGCGTATCTATGGACAGGGAAGCCATGCAAAGGTTTGGGGCTATAGCCTACCCTTGGTCTGTAACACTCCAGAAGCCCAGGGGGCTAAGCTGACCTCAATTCAGAGCCATGAAGAACCCTGGACAGTTTATTCAAAGTGTCCTCCACAGCCCTGACCGGTTTGGCTCAGTGGATAGAGCGTCGGTCTGCGGACTGAAGGGTCCCAGGTTCGATTCTGGTCAAGGGCATGTACCTTGGTTGCGGGCACATCCCCAGTAGGGAGTGTGCAGGAGGCAGCTGAATCTATGTTTCTCTCTCATCAATGTTTCTAACTCCATCCCTCTCCCTTCCTCTCTGTAAAAAATTAATAAAATATAAAAAAATATTTAAAAACAAACCAAAAAAACACACAGTGTCCTCCACAGACACCAAACGTGGAGCTGCTGGCAAAGCACATGGGCTTTCAAGATGGAGGGAAGGGTCTCTGCCTCCAGCTACTGTGGACAGAAGGCCAACACTAGCCCCAGTGTTTCCCGAGGGAAGGAAATGGGAGAGGTTCTGGATCCAGATGCACAACTGCTCCCCTTGAACAGGGCTGCCCTGAGAAAGAATGCTGCCTTAGCCATCTCCGCGCTGCTAGAGGCTAGAGAAAGAAGGGTGCCACCAAAGTCACAGGGCGCCAAGTAAATGCTACCAATGGTAAAGTTCTCAGCCAACTGCTCTCTGAATGTGGTGTCCCTGCCTTAGGTTGAGGCAATCAGGGAAGATTTTGGGTGTGGACATCAGGAAGATGCCTGGGAACACTGGTGGGGCAGTTCTTAGGAGCCACATCCAGAAGATCCTTCTGTGCCCTGCTAAGCTTGGCACCAAAAGGTTTTACAGCCGGGTATGTCCTTTCCAGACCTCTCTGGCTACAACATGGGGAATCCCTGAGAGATAAGTGAGAAGGGTGGAGGCAGGAGGCCAGTTAGGCTGGTGCAGACACCAAGGACGCTGGCCTGAAAGTAGGGCAGGTAAAGTGAATGCACAGAAAGCGACCCCTCCCTAGTCCAGCCCCCAGGCGGCTCTGGCTCTTGCAAGGACATCCTCCTCAGCACACTTCCGGACTCCAGACTCAGCTCAACCCTGCCGCTAGGAGTTCATCTCTCAAGAACGTCAATTGATCTGACTGTGGTTCTGCTCTGCTGAAAGGCCCTTTAAAGTTACATCAGGGCCTCGGGTAAAAACTCAAAAGTCAACAGTCTGGCCTGACACCCAAGCTCCCCGCTTACCTCTTCAACTCAGATCTAACTCGCCCACGCTCCGCGAGCATGGCCACTCTGCCTGGTCGGTCCCTTCTCCCTCTTCACTTTAAGAGCTCCCTTCCCGGGGAGGCCTGGCCCCACCGCGCCCAGTAGGTGGCTCCTCTTCTCCAGCCCATTTCCTCCCCCTGATCACCCTGCGCTGTAGAGCTTTGCTCCTGTACAACCCTCCTCCGAGACCAGGAACTCTGGGAGAGGGAGCAGAGACGTGTGTCACTTTCCCCGCTGGAGAGGGGGCCGGGTGCACGGGAGAGCCTCTGAAACTCTCCCTTGCAGGAGCAGAAGGGAGAAAGATTTGTTTGTTTCTTCCGGCAGCCTGGCCGCTGGGTAAACATGTGTGGTGCAGGAGCGCTTGGTGGCCTTGGTCGTCGCGCCCCGAGGCGACCTGCCTCTTGGAGGAAGAAGGCCCAGTACCCCGCTTCCCCCGCACCCCTCCTCCCCGCCACACACCACCAGTAGTGGAAGAGAAGCTCGCTAGAAACGAGCTCCTGCCATGCCGCTACCTGAGCAGCAGGAGAGGCCCGACAGCAGGAGGAGCGCCAGGGCGCCGAGAGATGCCAGCGCCACCATCGCCTCTTCTGTGCCGAGTAAAAAGAGAGCGACTCCACTGAGCACGAGGGGCAGACAAGGAAGCGCGACACGTAAGAGGACGCGGCAGCCAATCAGACGCCGGCAGGCTGGGCGGGCCTGTGACGTCGCTGGCGGCACTGACGTGTCCCCTCACAGGACCTGTGGCCCAGCTGGGTGCCCCCCAAAGATGGCGGCGGCGGCGGCTGCGCTCTCGGCACCGGAAAAGGGCGTGGGAACCGGCAAGTCACGCGCATGCGCGCTATCAGGGCACGCCCACTCCGCGGATTTGCAACCCTCCGAACTCTCGTGAGAGCGGTGTCTGCCTGTGGGGACCTGCTGTTGCTCTCACTTTCCATCATGGCGCTGAAGGTGGCCATGGCTGTTGGCGGCCCAGCGAAGGCAGTGCTCAGGCCGGCCCTCCTCTGCCGTCCTTGGGAGGTGAGAGGGGGGAGCGGGCCGCAGGGACAGTCGCTGCAGCGCTCGCTGGGGGTGGTTGCCCCTTGGTGGGACTGGATCTGGGGGCGGGGAGAGGGCTGTGCGCCGGAGTTGATTGGCCGCCTCCGTTGTCAATGACGTTGGTCCGGCTTCCCCTGCTTTCTGCGTCTTGTGGTGGGGGTGCTCCAGACAGGTGGGAAGAGTGGGCCTTGGCCCGAGTATCACCTCCGTAGTGCCCTTGTGGGACCCCCTCATGAGACAGTCGCGTATCTTGGCCTGCCTTGTTGTTGCCGCCTTGGGAATCCCGTTAGCTGCCAACGTTTTTCGGGTTTCTCTTCTCGTGGACTATTTTGCCACATGTCCTAGTGGAGATGGAGAAATGGACTTGCCAGTACCCCCAGCCCTCCTCATGACATTCTTATAGCCCCAGTTGTCCCCACTGCAGATGCTTGGAATAGGAAAGAGCTAGGGTTTGTGAGGCTGGTCGGGTGGGAGGCCCCTGGGGCTTTGTTAACGGAATCCTTCGTTTAGGATTCATGTCCGACTCCTCTTTCTTTACACACGTAAATGAGGATAATTTAGTCCCTGCGTGAAGCATCAGGGAGCCAGGATTGGCCTGGAGGACAAAAGTTATGATCTCTAGGCCTGGCTACCCCACTGACCCACTGCGTGGCCTTAGGCCAGGCCCCTCCTCTATCTGGGCTTCAATTTCGCCTCCGTCTCAAAGGATCTCAAAGGATCCAGCCAACTTTGACCTTCCAGAACGCTGCGACTTTGCTGACACTCCTTGTGGACACATCCCCTGCCATGCTTTCCCTCTCTGGCCCCTGGGGAAGACGGCCCTGTAACAGCATACCCTTTATGAAATTCTGTTTAAAAAGCTGACTCCTCCCACGTTGCTGATGAGAGACTTTCCAGAGGCCCTCACGATTCTGGCAGCTAGGCTCCCACAGGGTCTTGGTGAAGACATTTGTCTCCTCCCTGACCTCCTTTGTGTGTGTGTGCTTGTGTCCATGTTGGGGTGGGCATGGGGGGCTGTGAACAATTCGGGCAGTGCGTTGCCCTGAGACTGGTTGTCCTGGGTATGGGAACCTTTAGAAATGAACCCCAGAGTTTTGCTCCCACTAATGGGACCCTTGTGGGAAAACCTGTAGTCACCATTGACACTAAATCCAACAAACACGTTGAAGAGAGAAGCCTCAGTAAGCTGTGGAGTGTGGGGGCCCTTTGGTGGGAACACATATCACCCTGGACTCCTTTCTTTTCATAGCACCATTAAAGAAGGAAGGCTGAGCCTGGCCCGGTGTGGCTCAGTGGTTGAGTGTCAACCTATGAACCAGGAGGTCACGGTTCGATTCCACATGCCCAGATTGTGGGTTCGATCCCCAGTGTGGGGCGTGCAGGAGGCAGCCGATCAATGATTCTTTTTCATCATTGATATTTCTCTTTCTTGCTTCCTCTCTAAAATCAATAAAAATATATATTTTTTAAAAAAGATGAATGAGGGCGGACAGTCCACCCCTCCTACTCGAGGAATCAGCAGGAAGCCTGTGCGTATATCCCATCCTGCCGCATACCAAGCTCCTTTGATGGGCTGCTTCACTGGGCCTGGATGTGAGGCAGAACCTCCTTAACCCTGAAGGAAGGTGCCTGCATCTGTCAGAGCAAGGTTAGGGAAGTCTCTCTTCTGAGAGCCCCCTGGGTCTTTGGCCAAAGCCGAAGGAACATCTAGCATAGGACCCAGGTGAGTTAGAGGTTCAACACTGATGGTGGTGATGTGATCAAGGTGGGGGAGGGGAGTTGCACAGAAGCAGAGCCAGGCTTGGTGCAAGGGCTGGCTCACCACCACACCTGAGTTACCTGTCCAGTGTACTTCAGAGGATTGAAGGCCAGGAGGAATTACTGTCAGGAGCTGCAGGGGTCATCATTCCCCCATTGGACACCAGCCTTGACCACTGGCCCGAGGGGCTGTTGGGGTAAAGGGGCAGGTATGCTTTTGCACAGCTCTGTGTGCCTTGCTAAGGACTGAACAGCTCGCATACCTCCTGCGCAGTCCTTCAGTAGTCACATAAAGCAGGCACCTCTGTTCTGTGGGTCTCAGGCGAGTGTTTATGTTTTTCCTCTACGTCCCGCGTGGATTAGGGTTCGGGATCTGAAAGAGGAGCTGCACACAAATGAGAGAGAAAAGAGACAAGAGACAATTTGGAAATGTTGGGAAGCCAGGCGGGCAAGTCCAGAAGGACTTCCACTGATGCTCAGGCCGCTCCAACCTTTTATTTGATCTGGGGTAGCCCTAGGGTAAGGAGGTTTCAATGACACACAGATACTATCACGATTAAAGGTAGGGAGGTTGCTTCAGCTATTTACATGATTAAGGGTAGGGAGGTTGCTTCAGCTATTTACATGATTAAGGGTAGGGAGGTTGCTTCAGCTATTTACATGAATAAAGGTAGGGAGGTTGCTTCAGCTACCTTTATCTAGATTAACTGGGTGGTGCACAGTCCTGACCTTTGCTAGGGCTTCAAGGTTACTAATTTTGGGGGGTCTCTGTCTATACTCAGCTAGTGAAGACAATAAATGGACTTCGGCAGGCGAGGACAGGAAGCTGAGCAAGATTAAGCTGTTTGCTGCCGAGAGTAGTGGATGTGGATTTGAGCTGAGGTCTCCCTAGCCCCCAGAGCCCTCCATCTCTTCCTTAATCTTCTGATGTGCTCATTCATTCAGGAAATGTTTCTGTGTTCTAGCTCTGGACTAGGCATTCTGCTGGATCTTCGGGTGACAGTAGGGGACAGGACAGACTTGGCCTCCATTTTCAGGGGCTTAGGGGTTGGGGAAGGAGCAAGGCAGCGACAACCTTCTAGAACAGTGGTTTCTCAACCTGTGGGTTGCGACCCCTTTGGGGGTCGAACGACCCTTTCACAGGGGTCGCCTAAGACCATCGGAAAGCACATAGATAATTACATATTGTTTTTGTGATTAATCACTATGCTTTAATTATGTTCAACTTGTAACAATGAAATTGGGGGTCACCACAACATGAGGAACTGTATTAAAGGGTCGCGGCATTAGGAAGGTTGAGAACCACTGTTCTAGAAGATTGTGCTTGGAGGGGGAGGAATTGAGGTAGGGCTTTGGGAGGCCCAGGGTGGGGGTGGGTACCAATAGCTCAGCACCCTCAGAGCATTAGCGAAGGCTTCCTGGAGGAGGAGCAATCTAAGTGTCCTTCCACAAGGTTGTGTGAGAGCCTGTAAACAAGATGAATCCAAATACTGACAAGTACGAGAAGGAAAACAGAAATGCCCCAAGTGTGTCTGTGGCTACAGATCCAGGGGCCACATGGATCAGCAGATACCCCCAGAGCATCTTGTCCTAGCAGTTACCCCTCTCTTAACCCCTGGCTTGGGTGGGATGAGTGGCACACTTGCTTTCAGAGCTCGTGCATGTGGGTGCCTTGTGAATACTGGCCAGGAGACTCAGGTGGGGATGGTCAGCCTCTGCTTGAGCTTTCTAGCAGGAAAGCACGGCTCTTTGAGAAATGGCCACGGTGACTCTGCTGTTGACTGGAATGCTCTGCTGCTGCTCCACAGGCAAGTGGCAGGGCATCCCCAAGTGACAAGGAGAACCTTGGCTCTGCCCCTGCCACTTTGGGTTGAGGGACACCCAGGTGGAGCACAGCAGGGAGGAAAGTGTGCGGGCCTGTAGCCACCCTGCAGTGGGACCTTGGATGAGGGTTTCTTCCTCCAGGTCAATGTGGGGATTCCAGATTGGTCACTTCTCAGCACCTGTCCTATTTGGCTTGGTGGCTTTTGCTCTGGAGCTGTCAAGCATGGCACTGATGTGGCCACACATGGCTCCTCTGAGTCAGAGTTGGGGACATTTGCCATCCATGTAAGCCGTGAAGCAGTTTTGCAATCCTTTATGAAAGCCTTCCAAAAGATTGGTGTCTGTTATTCTTCTATAAATGGTTGAGCCCTACCTGGTTTCTCAGTGGTTAGAGCATCGGCCCGCAGACTGAAGGGTCGCAGGTTCAATTCCAGTCAAGGGCACGTACCTCGATTGCAGGTTCAATCCCCAGCCCTGGTCAGGGCGCATGCGGGAAGCAACCAATCGATGTGTCTCTCTCGCATCGATGTTTCTCTCTCTGCTCTCCCTGTCCCTTCCACTCTCTCTGAAAAAATCAATGGAAAAAATATCCTCAGATGAAAATTAAACACACACACACACACACACACAAATATGGTTGAATTTTTTTCTGTACGGTTGCTTTGGATTTCTGATTCTGGAGGGCCATTCCCAGCAGTGCTTGTCTCTAGAGGGGGTGCTGGGAGCTGTCTTTTTCTTCTGATCTCCATATCTCCACATTCTAGATTTTCTCCATGTTCTACTTTTGTAATAAGGAAAAAAGATCAAATGATCGTCCTGGTGGCCCTCTGTTTTGTTATAGTGATTTCCTTATTGTACCATGTTTAGTGTGCCAACTTTTCCATGTTACAGTCATTACTGAACAGTAATAATTGTCCAAAAAGGAATCAGAAACAACCTAAGAGGGGAAAGGAGACAGACTTTTTTTTCAAAACTGACCATGCAGACCTAGCTGGTTTGGCTCAGTGGATAGAGCATCAGCCTGTGGACTGGAGGGTCATGGGTTCAATTCCTGGTCAAGGGCACTTATCTTGGTTGCAGGCTCCATCCTAGCCCTGGCCAGGGCATGTGCAGGAGACAACCAATCAATGTGTCTCTGTCACATCGATGTTTCTCT